CTCGCTCGTTTTAGTTTGGTTGGTCGGTCGGTGTTATGGCCGCCGCCGCTCGAGTAGTGGCCCCACCGTATATCACTCACTCACTCTCACTCGTGCGAGCGCTCGGTTCGCATACGCGACGATACGATACGATACGAGACGATACGAGACGATACGATACGAGACGAGACGAGACGAGACGGGACGGGACGGGACGAGATGAGAACGCGGAGACGCGATCCGCAACCAACTAGTCCCAGACTTACGGCGTACACACGTCCGTGTCTCAGCGGCGCGATTCGGCACACGTATCAATGGCTCGCGTCGTGCTTCGTCGATGTGATCCTCGAGCTTGACGCGATCGAGTCCCTTTCCGTGCCCATGGCGATCTCGCGGATCTAGAAACTAACGATCGCAGCACCAACAATGGCTACGCATTCTTCCGCGACGTACCGAAATGGTCCCGTTCCGCCGTTCCGCACGCACGACCTGTCCGTCTACCTCCCTCGCCGCGCACTGCCGCGACGAGCAACGACTTTGACGAGCCGAACATAGCCGAACGCAAGCGCGCCAATTACGAACCACCACAGCGACGCCTAACGGAGATTCCGTGGTCTCTTTATTTCGATAGAAACGGATCTATTGTCGATATCAATCCTATTGGATGATTGGGAACTGCGGGGGCGTCGCTACGCACCACTCCTGGTCCATCCATCCATCCGAATTCTTACAAATCCCACGCTAGACTGTATCGCGCAGAACAGGGACGCATGGGAGAAGCTTCTAGAAGTAGTATTTGAGGTATATGGAAAAATCCGGATTTATCGATTGAGATATAGGACAAAAATTCAGGTGTTAGCCTGAATATTATCTAAATACTTATATACATAAAGACAAATGGAAATATGTACTGGCATTCATAAATTCTTTATTTGGTTATATACGTGTACACTTGAGCAACCAAGGCTAAAATCAACGGTTAATTTCCATCGTTTCATTATTCACCCATAATGCACTTTCGATGAAGATGAAATATAGCTGAGTTTTCTTTCTTTTATATAATAATAATAATAAAGTTCTGTATCGTCGACCAACTTGTGTGTATCGTGGAGAATCAGCTTTTGCAGAGCGAGAAACTTAAATGTTGTATGAGTAATCGCTGTGTCGAGTAACGGTCCGATTCCACGATTCTGCTCTGTTGCCACGCGACGCATCATGGGAAAGCGCGAGACGCAAAATCCATAATTACCGACTTCGTAGGTACCGACCGCGTCTCAACGATCGCCTGAGGCGCGTCAAACTAACAGGCGGGACGATTCTAGAAAATCGTCGACACGTGGCGAAGCTTTTCCGCGTGTGGCTTTACGTAGCGTTCCGCCATGACGTGTACGTGGTTATCGTCGATATCGTACAGGTTCCGTTAACGCTATCCAACATGGCGATGCAAAACGATCGATTTCCCCCCTCGTCCGTCTCGACCACGAGATGCCGAATGAACGCGGGAAAAATCCGCGAGTCGCGGATCGACCTGGCGAATAATGTCGTGACACAGCTCATCGGAATCCGCCGTGACTATTTCAAACGTCTCGTGGTGTATACGTGATAACATCGCGCGGCCTTCGCCAATCTGACGCGCGACGCGTCGGGCAGAATCGTGGACTCGTGACACACGCCACTACGGGAGTCAAATCAAGTATTCACTCCGCAGTGGCCGCTCGTATCGGCCGATAACATGCTCGCGAGAAATATGATAATTTCTAACTAACGTTTTTTTTTTTCTCTCAGTCTATCGGGAAACTCCTGGTGGATGGCCGATCGCATGCATTCGACGCGACGGCGTCACCCTTCTCGATGGCACAATATGGCGACGAGCCTTATATATATGTATAAGTGTTTTATGTATGTGGAGGCGCGTAATCACACTTCAGGTCCAACACCCGCACCCACTACCTCGCACTACGCTGGATCAACTCTCACTGCGCGTAACCGCGACGCGAAACGCCGCGGCGTCGCTCGCCGCCTCGGGATTCGACAGCGGCTTCGCCGTGACGAGCGGGACGGCTACGTTGACGGAATAACTGTCAGATATATATATAAATATGTATATTTCTTGATATTGACGAATTTGTCTCGACACTGATGACACAACTGAGATACGCGAAACTGGGAAAAAAAAAGAAGAGAAAAAGACGTACGTACGGCGATATATATACACGATGGTACATCAGACTGTCTGTGCGATTCTCTCTTCCAGCCACATTTAACTTGGCGTTCTTAACGACGATTGGCGCGTGCTACTTACGACGTTTCTCTGACGCGGCCCAATCGTTCGAGGGACCAATATTTGATGAGTCATCTTTTGTGATATGGCATTTCGATACCTGACTGATACGATAACGGTAAATTTTTTGTTAACTCCTGACCAGAAAGTAGGAATTTTTCAAATCTTTTGGACGATGGTCACGTTTCTTTACATGAATAGCCGTTATCTTGTCTATATAAGTCCATACCTGTAAGCTGTAAGCAAACAATAAGAAATTCTTGGAAAAGATACTATAAATCAATCATAAAATGTCAAGAGAAAGTTTCTATTCTAAAAAAATTTCTATCCATTAGCTAGTATAGAAAAAAAGCAAAAAATTTTTGTCAAAAATTAAAAAGGACATTGAAGCATCACGAAAATTCATTTTTATTAAAATAGATAGTTTGATTTCGAATTTATATCAATCGCAAGATACGAGGGTTCCGGAGACGATCTTATCACATTTTAATTAAAATATTATCTTCTTTTCTGAGTTTTTTCTAACAAATACGTACAACATACGCGTTAATATAAATGTTGTAAAATTGTGATAAAAATAAAAAATATATAATAAATTATAAAATTGATATGCTGTCACATTGACGATGAACACGTGATATTTAATTGAGTAAACAATCAGAATTCTAGAAAAAAATTAGAATTCTATATCAATAAAACGTAGCACGTGATATTGAGATTTTTCATGAATTATATCATCCAAATATATACTTTTCCTCTTTTATTATCCCAACTATTTAATTAATAAATATTTATATATGTTTTGCAGTGAACGTGTACACGTGCATGTGCTTTCTTTTTTTTAAAAAGATAGGATTAAAATAAAAAGAAAGACAAGATCGTATATCTCAAGTAATAAAAATGCAACATGAAATGCTACAGGATATCTATACAAACCAAATTTTAATATTTTTATATATTATCTATGTTCCAACAAGATTAGAATATTTAATTAATTTTAAAAATCAACATAATTTAATAATATTAAAAATACGTTTAGTATGAATATTATATTAGGAACATTATTACATTATTATATCAAACTAAGAGAGAGAGAGAGAGAGAGAGAGAGAGAGGAGGGGGAATAATAATGATAAAACATAAATAAAAATGACTAAAATTTATTTATATAAATTTATTCTTACATTTCTATTGATTTAAAATATTTTATTTCGAATTCTTGATAAAACGATATAGAAGATCTCGTAAAATGATATAGAAGAAATATAATTCAGTAATCTACATTTAAATTCATAAATCCATATTTATTTCTACTTCTTTCACATTGTATACTTTATGTAAATTTTGATTAATGGCGAACACATGTGATTCAAATATCACATGTGTTCGCTTTTTTATATAAAAAAGATTTAAAAACAAGATAGAAATAGGAGAAAGTTTTTTTACTAAAATATTATAAATCCACCTCTGTATGTTTGTGGAAATTTTTCAAATTATTCTTGCAGTTGATATAAAAAACTTCGAGAATTATTGGATCTAATATTTGCTTATCTGATAGTGAATAAATATAATGTTTTAAAGTAGTATTCAGAGATTCGAATTTATTTTTTAAGATACTTAAATAATAGAATTGTCAGATTTGAATTAAAATTTGCAGTGGATTTAGACAGAGATTTAAAATTGAATTCGAATTTGTACAATTAAATTCATATTTGAATCCAAATATATCTATAACTAAATATGAGAATAAAAAAAATGACGTAAAAGAATATAGATTATCAAAAATATTTTTAATATTTTAGAAATCATTAGATACATTGGTGCTTTTCCTCCTTTTCTAGATATAAATTTACATTCAGATAACAATTCTGGATCCAAATAGCACTTTTAAGTTTTTTAATTAGAATCTATCTTTAATCGTATATTAATACTCAAGATGCCTAATAAAACTTGAAATTAAATATGTATCATAATTCTTTATTAAACAATTCCCCAAACTTCTTCAAATGCTGTACATAATTTGCTACATGTTAAGGCGCCTGACAGAGGATAGTTACTAATTGCAAAAGTTTCTTCTGTATAATCAGTTTTGACCTATAAACAAAAAAATTTTAAATGCTTGCTTTTAATACAAGAATAATAAAATATCATGTAATAATTTGTAAAGTGATATTTATATTTTTTAACAATTTACTTGTCCATGTGCCATAGCTCCTACTACAATAGCAATTGGATCTTCAGTGGGTACAAGTTCTCGTGGATTTAATACTTTGTTTGAACTAAATGACATTAATATCTTACGACAACCAACTGGTAAATGATTTGTTACTGGATTTTTAATCACTTTAAGGAGCTTCATTGGTCCATCTGATGCTCTAACGCTATATTTATGTAATAATTGTACTACAATAAAATATTTAATATTTTATTATCATATTAAATATTTAATAAGTTTATCAATTGCATCATATGATTAAAAAAAATATTGATTATCTATTTACCCATCAGTCCAGCAAAGCGTTTGAATGTTCTTGGTATTCTGGTCTGTGGATTAATTTCTATCAATACATTTTTTTCTGTATGAATGTAGACTTGCAATAATCCAGCTCGATTCAGCGGACTATCCATTAACATTAATAAACACTGATGAGCAATGTCTGGCCTAGATGTACCTGGATCACGATTATATTTCTTCAGAATGCTTACATGATCATCACAATTCAACAGTTCAAAACTATTTCCAACCTACAATTATGTAATTATGTTTTGTGTTTATTTTTATGAAGTTAAAATCATAAATACAAAAAAAATTACATTTGTAAATATGAAAGATACAAGAGAAAACATAGCCTTACTTTTACAGATTCCAGTTGAGCATTTTCCAATATAACGATAAGACGCTTCTCTTGATTCTTGATATGACCTACTTGCAAATGTTTAGGAGCTGGATCATATTCGTAATCAGTCTCGTTATGCTTTTTCCTTTTGTTTCCCATTTTATATTCTTATTAAACAAGACCATTGAAGTTTACCTTTCAGATTTGAGGCACGTGCGACTAGATCAATACAACTAGATACATCAAAATCGACTGTATGTAATCGCTTCAAACTTTTCCAAGTCATCGATAGATGGCGAAATGATGTCGTATTTGGTAGAGACTATAGACATAGTATAGATAGACCGAGCATGCTATACATCAGGCAATGGGCGAGTGAGAAGAAACAATACCTGATTTTTTCTCTCTCTTTCATAGAAGAAGGTGGGGGAAACATTAAGTGGAGATTGTGTGTTCCCCTTATCATCTCTATCATAGATACAGTCCCTACTTAATGTTTCCCCCACCTTCTTCTATTAGCGAGAGAGAAAAAATGAGAGGTGTTGTTTCTTCTCACTCGCACATGTCGCTCATTAACTGATATATAGTATGCTCGGTCTATCTATACTATGTCTATGATAGAGACACTATAATCAGAGATTATAGTGGTCACGAAAAAACAATTTTTTGATTGGTCCGTCATCTTTTGGCTACTCCTACTTATTTTCAAATTCATTAACTACATTAATCTTAAATTGTAATATTATAATTTAAAAACATAAGCGTTTTAAAGGAAATAAAATGTGTATATTTATAAAACTTTATTTTACATAATTATATTATCAATTTATTAATATATATTCTTTAATTTTAACGATTTTAAATTTATTTTTTTTTCGCTATTTATCTTTTTCAATACAAGAGCAAAAATTAATGTAATATTATACTGTTACATTATAATATTTTTAACTTTCTGATACACAAAAATTTGTCAAAACGATCCTCTGTAAAATCAATACAATGACAGCTATTTACAAAGTTAGCGCAGCGAGAGAACTCATCGTGGAAAAGTGTCAATAATAAACTTCGAGAAGTATCGATGTCATGTCTTTTTTTAAAAAGGATTATTATACATATTTATTATTATTATAAACAAATTTTATTACAATATAAAATAAAATTTAAAAAATTAAAAAAATAAACATCCACCCATTTTTTATATTAATTTATTACAATTAATTAATTTATGACTTATATTTTGCAATTTTAGTATCTCTAATAATATATTTAATAATATATTATCACGCTTTCCACGTGTTTAATATACATGCACAGTACACTTAAATCAATGCAAAGTAAAAAATATCGCTATTGATTAGAGTGAGATGGTGTATATTTCTTTCTTTCTCGTTCTTTCTTTCTCGGAATTTAGCCAAAACATGGCGGATCAGAGTTGTGGCCAGTCTCTGGGAATCGATCATGTAATTTTTCCCCTAGGAAGGAAACGTGAAAAATGAAAAGTTTCACGTGAACTTACGATCATATACGATTTTGCGGGATCATGTAACTCTCTCAAACGTGAAAATGTGTAATTTTTCGCGTGAACTTTTTCGCCATGTATGCCTTGGTGGCGGAAAGGCGGAAATCTAGGGAATTAATAAATATGCTTCGGAATTAGAAAAGATTAAGGCTGCGTTAGTGTCGGTCCACAATAGGTGATTTAAGCTTTAAGACGTAAGAAATTGACCAATTATAATCGAATATGAAAAGAATAATCGATTATGATTGGTCAATTTCTTACGGCAGAGACACTAGAAATGGAAGACTGGTCAAGGTTTTAATTGGATACAAAATGGCGGACATTAATAAAATGTGTAATAAAATGTTTAAATGTAGTAAAATGTATTAAAATGTTTATTTGTGTGTATCTTCCGTTTCTGTCTCCCTTTTTTCGCATGCGTAGTCAGTGCAGATTGGTTATACTCATTTATATTCAGCCAATCAAAAATTGGCTCGTTTTGGCCAGTCTCCTATTTGTAGTGTCTCTAGCATTTGGTGGAGATTTTTGGTCTTTATAGCTAAATTAGTGTCGATCCACAATAGGTGATTTAAGCTTTAAGAAGTAAGAAATTGACCAATTATAATCGAATATGAAAAGAATAATCGACTATGATTGGTCAATTTCTTACGGTTTAAAAATTAAATATTTATTGTGGACCGACACTTAAGAAGTGCACATTTGTTATACTTAAAACAAAATAAATATATGTTTTAAAATTGACAAAAGCGAGATAGAAAGTTTTAGCGCAAACCAGTGCAGAAACAAAAAATAAGCCTCCCATAATAGAGCCTAATAGAGATGACAAACTTTTGATTAGTTCATCGTTTTTATCAACTCCCGAATTTAAATTTTGATTCAAGTAGGAATTTTATTCAGGTAGAAAAAAAGAAATATGATAAACTTTTTGGAATATTTTTATATTTTCAATGGCACATAGACTTACTGTCGTACTTTATCTAATTAAACATTTAACATAACTAAATTTTTTTAAAACATAAAAACATAACTAATTTTTTTAAAACATGACTAATTTTAATGTTAAAAATAATTGAATAGTTTTTATTTTATCAAGATAAATAGCGTTCGTTCAGCAACCGTACAGCTATCAATATAGCTAAAATAATTGTGACTACTATGACAACTATTGAAAAAGCCAAAATGCAGTCACAGTTATTTTAGCTGTATTAATATAATTGCTGTCGCAGCCTTTTTGATTATTGTATGACATAAAAGTTAAAATTGAAATAAAATGTTACGATGATCAGTCAGTTTTATTCTGTGTTTGAGTTATTTATCTTCTGAAAATAAATCCTTTGCGACGGCTTCTGGTATCGACAAGCAACTGTGCTTGCCTCTTCAATACATTTCGGGACGGAACTTCATCTTCATCCTCCGAAAGAGGAGCAGCCGGAATCGCAGAAGATGGAAACTTCGGAAACAATGGTTTGCCGCTGTTTATATGTATTGTCTTGCCTTCTATCGAAGTTGTAGCGACTGACATTGTTTCTAACTGAAAAACAAAGACGAATTTATGACTGATTGTCAAATTAAATATTTATATTCGAATTAAATGTCGTTCATATAAATTACGTAAGATTGCCCATCAATATAATAGCAATGAAATATTTATATTATAATTTAAAAGACTTGTGGATCTAGAAATTTGTCGATTAGAAAAAAATGTGAAATCTTTTATTGTTTATAAAAGGAAACAACTTTTATTATCTGTAGTAAATAATTGTCTATTTATATATAAAATGATAACACAAGAAAATAATACAAAATAATAACGTAATACGATATGACAAAAACATTTATTAAATAATTATTACTATCATTAAAAGAAATGAAATCATAAAAATCTAAAATTTAAAAAATATTTTTTTTTAGAAATATTTTTTAATTATATTTTACTACTTTAAAAAAGCAATTAAAATAATAAATATTATAATTGCAATTTTCCATTCCACGAACTTTTTTAAAGATAATTAAAACCAACCTTATCTAATAACGTTTCATCCATCGTTTCAAGGTATTTATCAGATGCATTTAAAACGTCTAGTCCATGTTTAACTTTACTGTTTAACAATTCAATAATTGCTAAAGTATCATCCATTTTAATATCCTCAAGCAGGGAAGTATCTGCAACATGCTGTAGATATGTATTTTCCTTAATATTAAAATTTGTTAATATTTAACTCTAAGATTATTAAGAAAAAAAATAGTTTTAAATATTAAAAATTTAAATATTATGAAGTATTTTGTAGCAGTACGCTGTCTATTATGTCAAGCTCGCTCTTCTGTTAACAATTTCATTTATGATTGAACTACATTGATATGTTTCGACAATAAATATTGAATATTTTAACAGAAGTAGTGAATTATATATTTGTACGCCTAAATAAAAATACTATATCTTAGCAAATAAATTTTT